TTCCCTCTCTCTTTTGAGCAGTTGTTTCTTTTCAAGAACTAGCAGTTGGGCAAAGCCTTCTCTTATTTGTACAGTGCAATAGAAATGTTTTCATCAGCTCTGAAGATCAGGTTTGAACAGAGACCTGGTCTGACTGGATTCCCTCTGGCTGTCTTAGGCGGGTTTAAAGGGTCAAAAACAGCCTAGGAGGAGACGCCCCGAGTCAGACAGGGATGCTGGCTTGGAAGAGATGTCCTGAGATACAGAGTACGGTCAGGACCTTTGCCAGACCAGGGAGCTTACCTTGTCTTTGGTGGTACACTCCTGGCATTCACAGGTAAAGAAATAAGAATCTCTTAACCGGTCATTCCGATCTTCCGTTGGGTACAGGAGATCAATGTAGCTGGTAAAAACCTAAGGGGATCCAAGCAGTTGACACTGCAGTCTGCTACAGGTCAGCTCGCTCCTTACCCTCCCTGTGGCCCTGCCAACATTGGTGGTGGCATCCTTGCAGCTTAACGATGAACACACCGAGTCCCTTAAACGCAGCAACCCCCCCAGTGTTGTCCAGCTGCTTGCAGGTGGAGAGAAAGGGCTTCTATAGAACCAAAGAACAGGAAACGGGAACGTTGAAAGCATCCCTGCCTCTGTCCTCCCCAAGGAGAGCAAGCTGGAGTTTGTCCCAGCAGGAATACCCTTGTCTGTTGGACAGAAGCAAAGACCCCACTCATCTGTGGGACTGGCTGTGGGCTGTGTGTGTCTGGCCTGTTTGTAGCCTCTTTTCCTGCACCAGCTGGGAGGGCTCAGATGCATGGCTGGGTGGGTAGATGGGGCACATGAACACACACACGTACTGATCTGTTTCCCTTTCCTCGCTCCTTCCATCTGCTGGCAGGGGGGCAGGATGCTGGGCTAGGCAGGCTGGGACCAGTCCGCAGAGGGAGGGCATAGCTTCTGATACCAGCACGCTGCTGCCTGACTCAGCTGGGCCAGAGAACTTGGAAAAGTTACCTTTGGGCTCACTGGGGTCTCCCGTCCTTGCTTTTTTCGAACAGGGTCTGTCACTGAGACTTGGAGCATATGGAGGAGACCAGCATTTAACTGTCCATTATCTACTCACTGGGACAGCACTCGCGGCTCATCCCACACCATCCGGCAAATGTCTGACTGAACAGATGGATGTCACAAAGCCGTCAGCGTGCCAGGAACCTCAGGCACTGGCAGGCAGGCAGGGGGGCACGTGCGGGGGCCGCCAAGATCACCCCACCCTAGAGGGCAGTCATGGAGACCTCACGGCTCATTGACACCCTGGGGAAAGGGCTTTGTCCTCGTTGAAGGGCAAGTCACCCCCAAAGCAGTGACTTCTTCAAAGTGAGATTACTGCCTTTCAGATTTGTGAGGGCACAAGGGCAAACCCACCGGAGCAAGCCCTGCCTCACGTGGCAAGAAGCCTCCTCCGCCTTCATTTCTATGAAATGACTGATGGTCACACAGTGCAACAAACAGAAGAGCCCAGAAGATGGCGACAAAGGCCGCTCAGTGTCACTGCTCCCGGCCCAGACAGAGCCCGCCTTGGTGACACCCTGCTCAGGTCTCCAGTCAGCCCACAGGAGCACTGGGGCCTGGTGACTTCCATTCTGACTGTAATTGTCTGTGAGCATCACAGACAAAGGCATCAAGGTGGCGGCCTCCATAACACCATTCGGAAACCAAGACACCCTGACCCCAAACAGGATACCCTTGTCACAATGAACTTAGCAAAGGGGTAGGAAGTCTAACCAGCTGTGGTTTGTCAACAACTTCCCGAGACACCAAGGCCTTTAAGCACACTGGTCGTTATATTAAAATTTTAAATCCAGACATGCCCCCTTAAAACAGCAGTAAAGATCATTAAACTGAAATCTAAAGTGTGTCATTGTAATCCCTAACAATTTATTATTATTATTTTTCATTATTTACTTAAGAACATATAGCCTACACCTAGCGATTTGCTAGGCCAGCCTTTTCGAGGTAAGATATCTTATAAGGTAGTCACGGAGTCACAGCTCAGGAAAGGAAAAGGGGACCAGTGAGCAGGTGACAGAACACCTGGTTCTCTTCACATCCCTAAGT